TCTCGTTGTCGTCTCTCTCTCTCTCTCTCTCTCTCTCTCTCTCTGGTTGTGAATGTGTGATGCAAGGGCCATGCCATTGCAGTTGGAACCAAACCAAAACAGAAGAGACCAAAGATGATGATTTCATTGATTTATGGACTTTATTTGGTGGGAAGCATTGATATCTCCTTAAAATGGACAAATTTTTAACTTTTTTTTCTTTTTCTAGAGATTTCCATTGGCCTATTTTCATGATAATTGAGACAAACTTTTTTTATATTTGTATGGAACATGGCCATATTTTGGCATTCTTGTCATTCACGTGGTATACTATCCTCTAAGGCCTTATACATGCTTTAAGAAAACTCGACTAATACAACTTGGACTCACCCGAGTTGCTCGTAGGCCCTATGTGACTTGTTCTCAATATTTTTATTATTTCTTTTATTCGGACTGGGCCAAGTCTCTAAGAGACACATCCGAGTTTACCACACTGGACTTGGAACTAGGCCTCCAATGTGTTCCGATCCGAGTCCTTGTTTTTTAACATTGCTTTTGAGTATGATTCATGTTAATAGTGGACATAATTAATGATACTATTCTTTCCCTTGAAATGCATCATTATGGAGAACTGCTTGGTTTGATTGTAATAGTTTAAGATGGTATATTAGCTCATTCTATGCTTTTTCTAGAATAAGTATTCTGATTGCTATATAGTTTAGAATGCAATCAAAATTGAAAGATCCCAAATGTATTTTTGCTGTTAAATGGGTTAAATCATCTTGAAAGTTATAAGTGTGAGAAACTGTATAGGGTTACAAAACTGTGTAGTACTATAGAAACTAACATATGTAATGAACCACCTTCCTAATATAGATACACATAAGATGAAGGAAAATATTGTTCACCATATGTAATGAACCGCCTTCCTAATATAGATACACATAAGAGGAAGGAAACTCCTAAACATCAGTACAGGTTTCTATATTTTCCGCAATAAGGGCTCAACCTTGAGAGCCAATTATGTAGGCAAAGATAATTTTGGTTGGGAATCCACTGAACAAACTACTTCCGGTTCAGCTTTGGGAATTATGAAGTTTAGAGAAGCAATTATGAAGTTTAGAAAAGCAAACTACTTCCAGTTCAGCTTTGGGAATCCACTGAACAATTAAGAGACTCTGAAACCATTTCTAAGCTTCTCCAAGAGAAGCACGAAGAAGGAAGAGAAAAGTGATATTGATATAATGGAATACAAATGTGTATTATTAGCAATTTAGGATTTCTATTAGAACTGTTAGACTAATTACCAAACAACTAAAAGACTATAAATTTAATTGGCATAAAAATTGGTATGTGAAAATTTAGGCATCCTGATTAGGTGTTACATCATTAACACATTTTGAGTATCCAAAGAAAACTATGAGTGCCGTTGTAGTTTTACAAGTTGACACTTAGGGTTTGTATAATACAGAGCGACCTCCAAACAAAGTGTGAAAAGAGGCATTTTGGAAAGAAACTTGTGGGAACGCAAATGATTAGCCCTTTCTTCTTAATGTATTTGATGATGTTAATTGATATATTAGAAATGGGAAACCCTTTTGTGTCATCACAGCCATATATTAGAGGCCCGCGACTACCCGATCTTAATTGGATGGCTCGGAGGGTGCCAAGTACAAGGTAATGGCTCGGAGGGTGCCAAGAACAATGTGACAGTTTGGCACATTTATTGGGTCATACTTTATTTGTGACATTATTGTCCGTTCACTTCCAGCCGTCCGATCATGACCTTATGATGTCTCTAATCGCATAAATTATATGGCCTAAGCACACATAGAAAGCACTTCCACCAGACTTTGGCTTCAATGTGTAAGTGTAGAATCCTTCTGCTAATAATCGTTTTCTGTGCTGTTCTTTGTTTGTCCCATCACTAAATCTCCTTTATCTAAAATTAAATGCTTTAGGTTATTTAACCCATAGTCAAGCTCATACCTAAAAGTATATGTCTTTCTATCACCAATAATTAGGGTTTTTTAGGTGGGAGTCTTGGCTCGGTTGTTAGGGCATAAGAGGTCACAACATAACCTCCAAAGACATAAAAGAAAGTGAGTGTCAATGTAGCAACCACTTTCCACTTTCTCTTTTAAGGCTAATCAGAGCACCCCAATGTTCACAAAAAAAATGTCCAAAAAATAGTAATCATAGCACTCCAATATTTGACAAAAAAAAAGAAGAAGAAGAAAAGTTCAAAAAAGATTAATCAAAGCACCCCAATGTACACAAAAAAAAAAAATTCAAAAGAGATTTATCAAAGCGCCCATATGTTGGGTCTTTCTTATTTAACTTCGTAAAGGTAACAAAATAGGTAAAAATATTAGTCAGGCATCAACATAGAGACGTACTTAATGCAATGCCTTCTTCCCATATTTTAAGATTAATAAAGCACGCACTTATCTTTCAATAATGAATGTTGCATACATTGCTTTATTATTCGCTAAAGGAGCAAAGTTGGAGTAGGGACAGGTATTTCACAGTGCACATTAACAGTAAACTCCCGTTGGTGCACATTAACAATTTCTTCCTTTCTTGTGTACTCAACTTCAGAGAATTTAGAGCTTTGATGTTGCTAGTGTTCGCTTGCCAAGGTTTGTTTAAGAAGTGTTCATGCAATATTTATTTTGATTCTTTAATAAAACGGATAGGCCCCGATATCACCACTGATTCACCCAAAGGAAAAAGAGCTTTGATTTGTAAGAATAAACACCTCTACTTGTTCGATTTGACTCATCAAATTCACTTGGATTTGGTTCTGTGATTGAGCTCTCCTTTCTTTTATGTGTTGTAAAGATTTTGTTTAGTAGACATAGTATTTAGGAAGAATTGTTCTTTTGTGCATTTTATGACAAAAGTTTTGGCATACCATAAACTTTACCATATACTCTCATAATTAACACAAAATAAGTAACGAGGAGAACCACAAAAGCTTTTGGATGGGGTTGCACTTATTGGGCCATCTTTAACATGCTGAAATATTAGAGTTTTGAGTTGCATGGGTGAAGGACCACCTTATTCAACAAGCCAAGCTGAGATGAGCTTAGGCATGGTCTTCTTTTGGGTTGCATGGGTGAAGGACCACCTTATTCAACAGACCCAGAAAGAAAAAAGGTATCAGTTTTTAGAATGACTGGAACTTTTACCACTTAGAATGGGCTTGGCTTGATTAAAGGGATGTGAGCTTGGGCTAGGCTTGGCTTAACTCGTTTACTAAAAATACTCATAAAGTGAGCCTTGTCAGGTTATATGCAAAGGAAGCACAAGCCTGGTCTTACTTATAAATAACAATTCCCCATATGGTATATTAAAATATCTACAATAGAAATTTATCAAAATACACCTTGTTTGTCGACTAGTTAATATTTAAATATTTTAAATATTTTCATGTATTGCAACTCATGATTATGTGTATTTTGATAGGATTTTTGTAATTACATCAAATTGGTAAAATGTTACATAGTTCATTTCTAAGTGCATTTTCATAAATTTCTCTTATCAGGCCGAGCTCAAGCTGAGCATGTCTCAGTCCAGGCTTAACTTGATGGATAAATGGCTCTTATGCTCGGCTTGGCCTGTCAAGATGTAAAATATCATTCAATTTAGTATAAGAAATATTATATGTTACATTTAAAAATGGGTGGTTACCCTCACTGTGGAAAAATTCGGGCGAGCCAACTAGGACTCGCTACCCTTGCAAGTTCGTGTATCCCAAGTTGTGTGGTTTGACTTGAGGATTTTAAAAATAAAAAATAAAAAAATACTAAAAAATTTTAAAATAAAAAATTTATTAACAAAGATTGGAAAGTGTTTTAGCCATGAATATTTATTTTTACATTTTTCTTTCTTTTTAGATTATTTTTATGGTATCCCCGAAATTTAAAATGATTGTTCAAAATCTATTTTTTTACTTTTTTTTAACCTCATTTAGATGTGTTATATTTAATTTTACTTAAACATATTTTTTATTTTTTGAATTTTTTATTTTTTAATGCATTTTATCTTGGCCGGGTGGTTTTGCACACTAAGAGACAGACTACGTCTTGTTTAATGCTGATTCCGAATCATAATAGAGAGTGGGTATAAAAAAAAACTTGGAGAATCACACAAAAATACAGCAATCTGTTTGATGGTAGGCATAAAATCTTCGCTTTTTTGATAAGTAGTTGAGTTGTGCTTCCAAAAACTTTGTAGGCTTGTATGTTGTCATTGCCAGCCCTTCTCTCTCCTCCCCCAC